ACCTAAGTCAGATTCATAAAACAAATATAAATCAAATCCTAACAGACAAGAAATCTTAAAGGTTTGAAGAAATTTATATTCAGTAAAACAAGGAAAGCAATTTGGGAGAAAGGTTTAGTTATCTCAGAAAAGGTAGCTTTAAAAGAGCAACTATTCACTACAGATAAAATTATCATATAAGTATACTAGTTTTATTCTGTTAGTAACATTTACATTACTTCTTGACCAATGACATTTTTATTTCAATTTTCAATATACACAATATACAAAGTGAGTGCAGAAACTGACTAAAACAGACTAAATCAAAAATAAATGATATATTCCAAAAAGAAAGAGCACAGAAATATTCAATACCATACACAAGGCAAAGGCAAACAGAGCCTAAAACTTTGTGGAATAGCTTTCATGCAGCAATGGCCTCCAGTCTCTTCTTATAACGATTGGCTTCTAACACGCTTCTGCTAGTATTTTGGACCACCCTTCATGACAGCTCTTCAGTTCATACAGATTATTTCACTGACAAGCATGTACACAAATTTTTCAATCAAGTTCAGATCAAGGGACTGACTGGGCCACATCAATAGGTTGTTTGTTTTGTTTTGTTTTTTCAAACTACTGTTTGATTGCCTTAGCAGTATGCTTAGCATCATTGTCCACGTGCAACACTATTACACTTCATTTTCAAAATTTTGACTGATATAAGGTGGTTCTTGTTCCATATATCTTAGTACATGACTCCATTCTTCCATCAATAGATGTGATGTGGTCCTGTATACCTGTTAAAAAAACAGCCCCCCCCTGTACCATTACATTGTTGCGTATCTGTTTTACAGTCAGAATTGTGTCCTCTGCCTTGAATTGTTTGCTCTTCTTCCTTCAAACTTAATGTAAAATGAAATCAAATAACTATCTTGGACGCACCAGAAAAAAGAATATAAATTACTTAAAGGCTCCTTAGCAAATTTCAGGCATTCCTCTAAATATGATTACTTCAGAAGCTGCACATTTTGACCTCTACAAGTTGATGAAGTGTGTATCACTGATAGTTTGAGGTGTTAATAGCTGTCCCTGATGCTTGATGATGTACAAACTCTTTGCAACTAAACCATAGCTGCTTATTTACCATTTTCACATTCTTGCTCGCAGCATGATTGGAAATCTTTTAAAGGACTAATGAAGAATAGTTCACTGTCAATCCATGTTCCTTCTGTTTTGTGAACTATTGAACCAACAGTGCACAAACAAAGTTGCAGCTCTTTACAAATGGCTCTTTTACTTTTACAATGTCTTCAGCATCATGGTTACTGATGCGCTGGCAATTAGTGGGCAACTGACACTGTACCCTCATTTCCAAGAATGTTTACTGTTACTTAGAACATTCTAAAATACTCAACACCTGTTTAGAACCAAATAACTAGAAATCTATATTCTCAAGCAGCTTTAGTTTACTCCTTTTGTGAATGAGTATTGAATATTTTACTTCATCTTTGTGAAATATTTTATTTTATAATTTTATATAAATGCATTTAGTTATATTACTTACAATCAGACAGATGCCTCAAATATGAACATTTGTCTGACTGTAAATAATGATAATTACTCATTCCAGAAATTCAGACAAATGTTTTTGTTGAAATGTTTGCTCATATTTACATTTGTAAAGATGAAACATATAATTTATAGGTAAATTCTTAAAGTGAACTAAAGTCATGATATATTTGTTTAGTAACACCTACTAATGATATCAGTTACATAAACTGTAAATTGAGCAAATTTGTATAGTTTGCTGTAACAATATGAGGTCTTTAATATCTCTACAGCTGGAAAAATAATACTCATTATTGCAGGTTCATTGAAGAGAAGTAAAACTATTTCGAAAGTTCCATCTTCAATTTCTACTTAAGTTATTCTTGTACTGTAGCAAAAAAAAAAAAAAATCTTTAAACTTATTGTAGCAATTAATGCCTGCAATTGATTTCTTCTCTTGTTCTCTATGTTTGTTGACACTCAGGTTTGTTTTTTGGGTTTTTTTTCTTCATCTGGTAATAAACATCACTATTCCAACAACTAGAGAACATGGGATTTTATAGATCTAGGTTCAATTCTCTCATGAACAAATTCTAAGATATACATGTGCAAATGTGACTCTCACTGTGAAACAAAATGGAGAACAAAGTGTATATTGTCATATATTAATACAAATTTACTTTTCAGGAATATCATGGAAAACAGCTTTGCTGAAAGATAAAAATCAAAGAGTGTCAGACGCGTCTATATTTCTATTGTAATTATTTACACTATTTACATTATTCAGACTCTTGACTTCATCTTTATTGCCATATTCATATTTTGAATATGGCAAAAAAGAGGAGGACAACAGTCCAAAGAATGTAAATAATGTCAAATGTGTTTACAAACTGGTCTAAACAGAAACCCTAATGTAGTTGATGTATCCTTGCATACCATCTAAAAATAAAAAACTCTAGATATCGGTAATAGCATTCTGAAAAAGCCATACAGTAGCCAAGTCAGCAAGAAGCAGAATCAGGAATTCATTAATGCCCTCAAGACTAAAACTGCAAAGATAGCTGTTAAAATAAAACTGAACCCCCAAATTGTCACAAAAAAAAAAAAAAAAAAATTTACAGGATGACCTATGCCTGAAATAATACAGCAGAATATTAAAGAATCTCCTCAAAGAGTTCATAATTTTTTAATCATGGATCTACTGTTAAAATATTCTCAGATAAAAATTTTTTTTACATCAAATATTGTTTTTGACTGTTGAAACGACTGGTAACTTCGCTATGGTTCAAATCCAACTACTCAGAGAGTAACTATGCGTAGACCCAGAATAGTGCTCATAGTTACACAGCCAAAACTGATGTATGTACTTTTTAAGCATAAAGTATTTATTTATAAAAATTTAATACTCTAATGTATAAAGTCTACAGATTTGGGTTACAAGCTGAGTACTATAAAGAAATTTTGACAAAATTTCATTGCACAATTTGTAGAGCAATATTCCAAGTTTGCATTTTTTTAATTATTTATGCTTTAAATTTCTTTATATAATAGCAGAAATGTCTGGTGTTGGTGAAGGTAATATAACTTGAAATACAAAAAAAAAAAAAATTTTTATATAAATCTTATACAGCACAACAAATGAAAATAAAATTATGAAAAAGTAATGAGGAAGAAAATAGATATTCTGATACTCAAAACAAAACAAATGATAGTTTGAAAGCATTTCTGAGTACACAATATTAGTACTTTGCCCACTGGCTGAAAATACACAAAGATTGTTTGAGAAGCTAATGCCAGGACAACCAATTGAAAAAGTATAACAATGTCAGTTTGAAAATCAGTGACCTTGATTTATTGTCTTTGTGCCTTGTTAATAATAATAGCAAAGATGAGCCTCAATGTGAAATAAACAAATCACCCTTTTTGTTTAGCTCAGTTACTTTAATGATATGTAGGAGACGTTGCTCGAAAAGTGACACCCATTGCACAACATTGTAAGGCTCAGATTTCTGAGAAACATGATAAATGTGCTAAAATTTACTTGAAGTTGGTGAGAAGGAACATTGGTTAGTTGAAGATAGAACACTTTAAAGCTGACCTCTTCTGGAATATGTCGCAATAGATTTGAATTTATTTATTTATTTCACTATTTGGAGAAAGAATACTTTGCTCTTGGTTTTATGGGCCATGTTCATTAAAATAGTTTACAGTATCAAATTTAATCTTGAAAAGTTTAATAAAGGTTAGATAATAAAAAAATAGAAAAAAAAAAATGAAAAGAAATGAAGTTTTTTTTGGGTTTTTTTTTAGCCCTTTATGTTCTTTTGTTTAGATGAATAAGATATTTTAATTTAAAATTGACCTCTGGTGACCTTCATTAACATTGAATATCAACACCATCAATCCTACAAACTTTTTCTGTACAAGTTACCAGAAGCAGTTTGGCTAGAATACAGATCATAATGGTCATAGACTAATCCTATCTCCAGTGACCTATGAGATCCAATTTGACTTTATCTTCTTTACCATTTGTGAGGTGAAAAAAAAAACATTTGTACTTTAAACCAAACTCCAAATTTCATTACATTTGGACAGAAATTGTTTTAATTTGATTAGAAATGGCATACTGCACTCTTTGATCCCTTTAAATGAACAAGATCCCCTGTCACAATTGGAGATTTTGTCTTGATGCCAAAAATTAGTCTTGTAGACCTTGTCTTTTGAGCATGATTGTCTTATACACAAGTTTCCAATATAAATATAGATGAACAGTCATGAAAATGTTTGGCTACAAACTGGAATAAAATATACATTTTGAGTATGTTCATAGTGATGCTCTGAATACTATTTTATACATCTTAATGAAGTCTCTATGAATATTTTATTAAGTAACTGATGACATCTAATAAAAGAACAAAAAAAAAAAATCACTAATTTAAATTAGACTCCTGAAAATATTAGTGAGGAAGCAAAATTACTTTTTTCACTAATATGAAAAGTGTCAGATAAAATGAAACAAAAATAGGAATTTAATGGGTATTTCCGGTTCTTTTATAAGTTTACAAAGATGATTATTAAGTAGAATTCAAGATACAACAAAAAACAAATATTATGACACATCCAAATGAATGTATTTTAAATAAAATAGTACAAATCATTATAATTTATAAATTTATATTCTTTAACTAAATCATTGTTCAAAGGAAAATTTGAAAACCTTCATTATTTAGAGATTTCAAGAAGAAAAATGTGTGATTAACTAAATATCAGTCACCATTTTTCTAATATAAATTAAAGTTTTTTTTCTCAAACACATCAAAACAAAATATAATTAGCACAACTAGCAAAAGTTTTTCTACTAAAATTAAACAATAAAAATGGCATAGTTATTCCTTAAACAACTTCTACATACAAAGACCAGCTGGTAAATGAAAGAAAAAAAAAAGTGATGAAGGGAATAGATAAATACTTACGAGGTTCCCATCTTTTATCATGATGTGGTAGACAACTTCTTGGTTCTGGAGAGGAAAAAAAGAAAAACAAAAAAATATAAGTTTTATGTAAAGAGTAAAAACAAAATACAAATAAAAATCAATATCAATTAGATCCACAGAGCTGAACAATTTCATTCATTAGTTGTAGAATGTATAAACAATTTAATAAGTGAAGAAGCTTGAAATTTTGTTTATAAAGTTTTCAAGAAATTGTATAAAATACATAAATTAGCACTAAAAGATACATAAGTACAAACACATTTACAAATATCCTGTACATAAACACAACATTTTATTCACAATTTAAAGACTTCAATATACAGTAATTAAGTTACTCTTAGAAATATCTTGTTTGAAATATTAGATAATACAAAACTTTATGAGTTTGCTTTACATGTTTTCTCCTTTTTAAAAAACTACTTTTTTAATTGATAGTTGCTAATAAAATATTATAGCTATTATTCAACATTAATTTCATTTATATTTGTTACGTTTTTTTTAATATATGTAGTTATATTTTACATGTTTTACTTATTTTTATTTCTTTAATGTCTCTTCAGGATGTAGGTGGTCATGACTCTTCACAGATTCCATTTCCTTATTATCTGCAAATTCCATGCATTCTTGAGTAAGAGAGTGGCGTGATTTCCCATTCCCTTTGCCATAGTTTTGAATTCACAGTTTCCTTCTCTTAGACTGGTTGCCACCCAAGGCAAGAGAGCCTAGTCTACCTTGTTATTTAACCCAAGATATGGAATTGGTAACCTTCTTAAGAGTATTTGTATACAAGTAAATGCAATAGACTAGCCTGGAATTTGAACTCAGATTGCCGATTCCAATTTTTGAATCAATATCAATTACACTACCTGCATATTCTATGTTTTATACTTGTATTAAAATTTGGCACAATGAACTAAAACTACATGGAATATAAATTTTGCCATTGAGAACCAATACTCTTAGTGAAACAAAAAAATTTTATATAAAAAAAATTGCAAGTAAAGATTTCAGTTACGAAATATTAAAAGATAAATTAGAATAATTAGCGAAGATTTGAAGGCTATAGTCCGAAATGACCCTAAAACCCCAGAAAACTTAAATTTCAGTGTATTAGCTGGAATTATTTAAACTCATTTAACAGCAATTAAAAAGAATAATAGGTTTTATTAATTGCATTTTATTTGAATAGAATGAGAAACAAAAACAGATGTATGGAAATTTGAATTAACCCAAGTTCAACAGTAAACAAATGGTCTATTTTATATTATCATCAATTAACATGATGGACTTTTTAAATAAATTGTATAATGTGTATTAACTGAAAAAGATCTACATAATCAATGACCAGATGAAATAGTGCTATCACTCCTGAAAAATCATTAAATAGTACAAAAGTTATATAATACACAATAATCTCTTTCAGAAAGGTTCGACAATTAATACATATGTAGACCAGTTTAAAATGGAGCATTCAAAATTTAAAAAAAAAAAAAAAAAAAAGACTATTCAACAAAAAGCAGGCTATTTTGTGCCCATTCTCAATTAGTAAAACTGAAGTTGAAACAATTGAAGACTTTATTACACTCTGTCAATTCATCTGATCTTCCTACTCTTTCTTAAGCATCAATACCACTTCCTTATAGTCAGGAATTCCTTTAATCAGAATCATATTAAAGTAGTATTCAATAAATTGATTAACTCTTTGAATGAAAAATTCTTTAGAAAGTGAACTGACAACTTCCTGACAAGCTTGAAAAAAGCTCTAAAAACCGAATTAGAAAGTTCTGATAGAATAAATAATTTTGCTTGAATTTTGAAAATCTATTGACTTGAGAGTTTCATATTTAATAAACTGATAGAAAAGCTTCTTGGAAAAATCAAACCCCTATTTTTTCTAAATATTAAACAACATCAATATATAAATTAAAAACATCAGGTAATAAGTTACTGTAGTCAAAAATATGCTTGTCAAATTTAATAAAATACACCATTTGACAGCATTATTTCTACCAAAGCAATCCTTATTCTAATTACTTTTTCTGTTTCTCATTTTAATTATAAATACATCAATATTTTTGAATTCTTAAAAGGTTTATTCTCACTTGTAATGTTCATTTCCAGGATCTTAAAGACTTTTCAGATGTGCTGTACATCAGAAGAAAAATGTTCATTTATTATTTGAATAAATTCAGAATTTTTGTGAAACTAGCCATTGTTAAAAAAAAATATATTTTATTAGAGTTCAATGAAGTAACTGAGCAAACTAACAATCATAATTTCATGCTGTGTTGCTATTTCAATTTATTGGTTTATGCAGAGCAAATAAATTCCCTTCTATTAATAAATATTTATTACTTTATTATGGTATCAGCTGAAAGAGAATAGTTTGGTTTCATTCTTTAAATATTATTGGTATTAGCTTAACCATATTTAAGCACACAAATTCATTTATTATTGCAATCTAAGTCTTGAAGTGGCCAAGAGGAATTTCAGCCTTATGCACATTTTTTCCCTACACATTTTTTGTAATAGGAAATCATATAAAATTCAATATTTTGTTTAATGATTTCTGTTTATTGTTCATGTTGCCTTCTAATTCCAGAATGATTTCAATAAAGTATTGTTGAATTCTCAGTTTTCACAAAAAAATGTTTGCAATAAATTCATAAAACTTGAATAGAAGAATTTATAAAAGTGACAATTTTTAAAAAATATACAATAAAGATAACACCTAAAATTTATAATTCCAAAGCATAATAGACTTTTATTCATTGTTTTACTGAGATGTTACTTTAAGAAAAAAAAAGGCAGATATGTATCATTTAAAAGTGAAAGATTTAACAAGTACATGCTAGTAAAGTAAATTTTAATAAAGGCTAACAATGCAACCTTAATTCTTCATTTCAATTCGGGGATGAAATTCTGTTTTGTCAAGTAATGTTGGCTATGTTACAGAACCAACTATATATGTGCCCTTTTTCATTTTTATACATGTCCCAAAGCAGAAATTGATAAAATTAATATGTATCCCTTCCTTTTAATAGGAAAAGAAAGAAAACAAATTACCAGAACTTGAAGTTCAGTTGAAATAAGAGTATCTTTTAACTATAAAGAAAAATTAATGCTATCCTGATAAGGTTTTCATGTTTTATCTGAACAGGTCAAAACACACCAATGGACAAGAGTCAAATTAGTCACCGACAAATAAGGTGACCGAGCAATAGAGACTGAATATTTGACAAAAGTTAGTTAAAACAGGAAGCTAAGATCTATTTAATTGTAGTGCCATGTCAGAATATAATTTGCATTCAATATCCCACTAGGTCATCAAAGGAGCAAAGGGTGCAGTGTTGATGTGAGGTGAATTCCTGATTGCCAAATGTAGAATCATGTGAGCACCACAGCTGCATATGGTATATTGTAAGTGTGAGGACAGGCTGCATGATAGAGACAGATATATAAACAACCACTTTAGAGAGTTGTTGGGCAGCCTCAGACAACACAGACAATGTAAGGTCCAAATTTGGGCAAAGGGCTCTGGGGTTGCACACATGCACGAGTACACACCGGCTGAGAGTAGATGACAAAGTTAGTTGTTAAATATGAAAGATTCAAGTCTTGTGTTAACATCTTCACTTCCTTACAGACTAGTCCTACAATGAATGAATGACATTTATTATTAATCAGTAAAATGTTTCAATCTGCATTAATATCATTGAAAAAATCTGCCTCATCTGCATACTATGTATCATTTAAATTGATCTTGAATGTTAAGATATATTCTCATCAATTTAAAATCCTTTAAAATCTAAGACACCAATGGCTCATATATATATATATATATATATATATATATATATATATATATATATATATATATATATACACACACACACAGTGTGATGGGTAAATTGTCAGCATTTTATAATTTTGCACATGCATGTTGTTTGTTTTTGTCAACTGCACAGTACAATAAGGTCAGTTGGGCACTATCTGTGACAAAAAGTGTACCATGATGCGGCAATTCACTGCCAGAAATTTGGAAACGGCATGCTGTATTACTTGGCATTTGTGCCGGAAGCCGCAATACAAACATTTCAGAATGTTTGGGTGTCATTCTGCGGACAGTGCAGAGAATTCAGAAAGAGTTGGATGTGTTATTTTCATTTTTACCTACTCTAGATGACAATTTATCCATAGCACCTTATATATACATATATGATAAAAATATGGTATATTTATGGATTAAAGTGCTCAATATCAAGGATTGAGCATATGTAAATACAAAAGTAGACATGGAGGTCAACACCCAATAACATCCTGAAGATTGCATTTAAGCATGAAACAGAATATCACTGTTGGGTGTTCAACACAATGTCCGTGTGTGTGTGTGTGGTTTCTGATCATCAGATCTGATAAGATAATGTCATTTATAGACCTTCTTATCCTCAAAAATCCCAAAGCCTTTTCTTTAGACACAGTTTTGTCTTTCATTCTGACCTGGAGAAGCTGAAACCAATAGATCAGAAGCATTGTTTATAGATTCTCCACTTTTGCTTAGGACACTATTATAAATCCAACAAACATATTCAAAAGCATGTAATTTGTGCTAAAAAGTTTTGGGGGACAACCATTTTACAAAATATGAACAAACATCAAATTTTGGGGGGTTTCAACCAAGAACTTTCCAGCACCCTCTTATGTGTACACTAACTTCAAAATCTTTTAAGAACAAAAATTTATTTCAAATAATAGGAGCTGAATTATGAAATATATATATATATATATATATATATATATATATATATATATGTGTGTGTGTGTGTGTGTGTATTTAAATAAAAAGAAAGAACAGTAAGATATATAATCCGGTGTTCTTATAGATATTTTTATTTTTACAAAATAGTGCTCAATGTAAATTTACAGAGCATTAATATTATAAATTAATTGATTTAAAATATGGGTTTTTTTCTGCTACACAGTTCTAACCATGTTTCAAAAATGGAAGCTAAAAACCACGAATT